AAAATGCAGTCCAGAAGTTTGGGTAGAGGAGGTACAAGAGCTGAGAAACCCTTCACATAGTTTTCTGGGTGTTGCTGTTGTTTTACCACTAAGTAAGTGACCTGACCCATGGGAAGTGTACAACACACGCAGACCTTTGTAGCACAGTATCAGATTTGTTTGTTGGTTTGTTGTTTGTTTTTTTTTCTGTTGAAACAGTCAAGCTTGCAGAAAAGTGTCAAGCCAGGGAATTCCATTCTGCAGCTGTATTCCAGTGGCAAAATTCTTTCTGACAAAAGATGGAAGAGCGCACAGGGACACAAAATGCAAGCCTATTTATACAGTGTCAGATTTGAATCATTCTGCATCTCCTTCTTGTACATGTATGAATGAGTGTTTATGGGTGAGAAACTATTTTGCATACACACTACGAGGATATGTGTACTATGTTCAGTTAAATGTAACGTTTCTCTTCTTGAAGTATGTCTGAATTATTTTACAGGTACAGGTACAACTACTACAATTCATTCCTAGTGTTATTTATCTATTTATTTAATTTAGCCACCCAGCTCCTCCAGTGCTTCTCATGACTTAGCTCTAAATGAGGAATTATTTTACCAATTGCACATATCTTAAAGTGAAGAAAAATATTATAAAATTCAAGATGTATCTTAGCACTGGGACAAAAACACAACATCTTTCCCAATTAAAAAATATTTTCACATGTATTACAGGCCATGGAGAACAGCCAGAAAGCTGTTTTAGATGTTATAAAAGCAAAAAAGCGGCACTTCTAAAATTTTATTTAAATCAAGAAAGCAGATTCTGAATTGGAAAATATCTCTTTCCAGAGAGCCATGCAGTCTACCTTTGCTGTAAATTAGACTAGCCAGATGGTTAGGGAGACGTGGAACAATTTTTGTGGTCACATTTAACAGGCAGAAAGCTTCCTTCTATTGCCCACAACCCAGAAACACAATCAAAAGCACCTGTTTTTAAATTTGTACAATTCAGCCCGACTTCAGAAGGCAGTGACCTAGGAAAGGCTGAGCCTGGCATCCGGGGAGGTGAGTGGCTCCCATCCCAGACAGGACAGGCTCTGTGCAGCCCATCTATCATCCCTCTGCAGGAGGAGTAGCATCCAAATAACACCATCATGTAGTACTAGCCACGAGTGCTTGTTATTGCTTTATTCTTCATCAGTTTGTTTGAAGGATTTTATAGCACTACAGAGACAGGGCAGAACGTGAGACAGAGAGCATGTGTACTAGTGAAAAGCACAGCTGATTCTTTGGAAAAAGTGAAGTGCTTTGCCATCCTTCCATTTTTAACCACATCTGGCTAGCTTGCACTTCGTTCCTCATGTTCCATAAACATGCCTTCAACAGCACAGAACCACCTACATCATGCATTTATATTTTTTTTATTGCATTGACTCTTAAATCCAGAAAAACAGCCTACAGTAAGTACTTTGCTTTTAATGCTGGCAGATGTAAAGCACAGAAACGTTGCACAAGAGCAACAGACACTCTATCACTGGCATGAGATTCCACACTCTCCCATTTGGTAGCTGTAACCTCCTACCATGTCAGGAGGTGCATTACCTTGCACTTATCCACGTATTAAAAATTGTTTGTGGCGTCGTAACACCTTAATCCAGGTACTCAGATCTCAGTGTAGTGTTTTCTCTCGGGGTACCACTGCACTGATGCAGGATGTCCAGCCGTGTGATGGGCGGCGCCAGAAGTGGGCAGGTGGAGACAGAAGTGGGGTCAGCCCCTGCTCTGGCCAGCACAGGATCCACACGGTGCCCTGCCTGCCCTGCGAGGTGGCACGGCTGTGGGGTGGGACCACCACGGCTCAGGAAGCCACCTGCTCCTCAGGAACCAAGGCAACGGGCCAGGCAAGGCTGTGCCAGCACTGCCAGTTGGATGGTGCCGGTCCATTACAAAAAATACCTTTGGCAACACTTCTAGAAATAGTTCCATTCGTCGTTCTTGCCTCAGAAACAATTCAGTTCGGCAAGCTGCTGCCAAAGCAGATTTTTAAACCTATTAATTCAAAAGCATGCATTTGTTTAAAGCAAATTGGTATGTGTATTACACTAAAATCTCTTCTTTTGTGAAAAGCAGGTCAAAGTACTTCTCTTCTTTGATTGCCAAGACTTGCTTTTTTACTCTTAATCAGCAAATAATTGTCTGTATGTACCTCAAGTGTGGTCCCGTGAACTGAATGCTCAATAGCAGCTGGAAAGCATCAGACAGTTCCCTAGAGTATGTCTTCTGGCTTGTTTTTTTCCAAGAAAAATCCTGTTTGCATGCTCCGGGTCTGTTCTGCCATATGAACCAAAGCAGGTTAGCAGGAGAAGATCCACAGATTCATTCCATCCACTCAACCAATCCAAGCTAAAACACGTAATGCAGCTGTGCCACACAGTAACACATCCTTAAGCAGAGAAGACAAGCCTGAAGTCTGGGAAGTAAATTTATGGCTACACAGCTAAATAAGTTGATTGGCTGGAGAGTTTTAAGTCTGGGCTCACAGTTAAGCATATCGGTGTCGGAATGTACTCAGTAGGCACCTTGTTTCTGAAACAAAAATTTGAAACATTGGGCCTTGGTTACTTGTTTCTGCATTTAAATAGAAATTACTAAACACCACTGCTTTGTGCTGGCTTCAGTGGGATGTGAAAGGTAAATTGCTGTAGCCCGGTACCCCCAAACACGGAGTAGAAAGCAAAACTTAAAATCACCACTCAGAAAATTCCTTACTTCGTGGTGTGGTGGGACATAAAAATTCCTTCTGATGTTGAAATTCATGTTGCATGTTCTTTGTTAAATTTTGTCACTATTCTGCAATGGATTACAGCACCTGGGACTTTCTACCAAGAGTTAAAACATACTTTCTTAAAAAAAACCAAAAAAACAAACAAACAAAAAAACCACAAAAACAAACCAAACAAAAAAAAAAACCCACAAAACAAAACAAAACACCTCAGTTGTAGCACACAGGAAACATAAAAACAGTAAGTAAACCTTGTGTTATATCTCTATAGTTATCTCTCCAATGCAGGGTAAAAAAAAACCAAAAAAACAAAACAGCTGCACAAACTAGTTTTGAATCAGCAGTGATTCACCGACATTGCAAAGTCATGATTTCAAAGTAAAATCAGCTCTATAGAGAGGATTAGACACATAGAAGAAAATAATTTTGTGTTATTTCCAGGCATAAAAGGAAAATAAGCATGTAGAATAATCATACATCAATATACTGGAAGACTGGAGGAGATATTATAACCACTATAACTGTGATGTTTGGGATCTGATTATACTTTTAAAGACACCAATACATTCAAATTAATATTTCACATACACTCCAATAGTCTGAATGTTCTGTATAAAGATATTTTACTGCAGAACGATGCAGAATAATAGGAATATTCACTCATAAGATAATTATACAAAAAGTATTAACTCAGTTTTTTACAATATCCTATTGTTGCATGTTCAGACATTACCAAGTGAGTAAATCATACCTGACATAACGAAATGGATAAGGAATGAGCAGGAATGAAAAGCAGTTTTCACAAAAACATGTAGAAAGGATGGCTGTGGTGAGGTGCACATGCTGTCTGTGCAGCTCCATCCCACTGCCAGTCTTAGATTCTGGCCCCTGTTCTGTGGATGAATACTCATGAGCACAGCTGTCCACAGTGTGTGTCCCTACCACGAATACAACACTCACACACATCCTTCTCCGCACATCTCTCCTGCACACACGTGTGATGGCATTTGCTTCCACTGGAAAGATCCTGTCTGCATTCTTGCCATGTTTTAACCTGGGAACACGCTGCTCTTTCCTCCTGATGCCAGGGGACCTGAGAGCTGGAGTAAATAGAGTTATTGATATGAGACACATCTCCCTCACGTGTCAGACAGCAGTGCTATGGCATGTTTCTGACACCAGCGTTTTTGCAAAGATTGTCTCCTTGCAGAACATATGTTAATTCAAACAGCCTCCACCTATAACTAAAACTCAACCAGCCTGCAGAACTCTAAGCTCCTTCTCTGAGCATCCAGTGCTATAAGCACTGTTTATAACATGCAGCATATGCACAGATCTTATGCTAACAGTATTCAGTGCAGCAGTTTGCCCGTCTCTTTGTAATACAGCCTTTGTTATCTTCCTTTTTGTATTTCCTACTCAACAGAAAAGCAAAATCTTTGCTTACAGCAACTGTGTGTTGGTATTCATACATATATCCTGGTAAGATGGTAAGTAAGTTAATACAGCACATACTATAACAATCTGGCTTCTGAAGAGATCACCATCTACAACCACAAAGAGAGAAAAGTAAAGTGATGCACAGAAGTGCAACAGGAAGGAAACAGAATTAAGAGAAGGAAACCACATGCAAGGGGAAATTCCTGTCAGTCAGTAGTACTATTAGATGGTGAAATAGATACACAGGCAGAGAAGCACAAACCCATTGCTCAAAAAACCCAAAATGAAACCACATGGATCACCTCATGAAAAAACGTACTCAGAAGTATGGTCAGCACAACATGAATGCCTATGATTACAATACTGAAATACACAGTTTTTATCGCCTAGTGGCACACAGGTTTAAGGTTTGATGGACGGCAGAGCCAGAAGTGCCACCACTCTGTGACTCCACTCCGTGTCCTGCACCTTCTGCCATGTCCTTCAGCTGGGTCATGTCCTGCAGAACCACCTTTTGTATCAACAGCTATTAACCTCACTCTTCTCCCCAGAGCCCCCTAACATGGCCCATCATGCCACAAACCAAGCCAGCCCTTGAAGACCATGCAGCACAGCTGGGATGTGGACACCTCAGCAGGTGTCCTGGAAAACCATAGTGTCTCTCTCCTGGGTACTTCTGTTTCCTGGGAAGGCAAAGTACTCAGGGCACATTGCTTACTGACACAAGAGGTTAGTGTCCCCAACCTCCAGATCCCTCAGGTACTTGACAAAACACCCTGGACATCTGGTGAGCCAACCATCTCCCGAGCAGCTGTCCCCACTACAGTCAGCAATACTCAAGCCTACTGTCTACTTTTAACAACTGTATAGTTGCCCCTTGCACAGTTATATAGCTGAGCACATAAAGATGTAGATACCAGCTGCTGAATTTTTGCTACATTAAGTAGAGGTGATCATTACAGATATTGGCAGCAGCACGTAACTGGCAAGTTACAGCTGTCTTTGGTTGCACCTCCGTATTAATAACATTTGCAGGCTAATTCAGTTTGGTACTATTTGCATTACAATGCATTTCCATTGGTCTGGAAGGGATTTCGGGAGAATTGTACCTGCCACTAAAATAAGAACTCACGTGCCTCTCACGGGGCAGAGCTTACATCTTCAAAAGGGTGATGGTAAGGCGGAGATCACGCTCCTCTCTACTCAGACGCTAGAGAACACGTTCCCACAAGGGGTTTTTGGTGCTGTCTCACTAATTTCATTGTTTGCTGCATAGTATATTTCTTCCATAAAACCTGGAAAGTTAAACTTCTACCAGTTACCACTGTCTACGCCTACTGTCTCAGCAAAAAGAACAGTTATGCATTCTCTCTGCCATACTTTAATGGTCTGTGTAATCGTATACATGCTTGAGAACTTCCTCTGGTCTTCTCAGGCTTTTGTTTAAACCACTCAAGGCTGTAAAGTACTGCCTATATTTCACAGGAAAGTTGATTTCAGGACAGTACACTTTAATCTGTTCTTGGCCCTGAGTACTGATTAGGCCCCAGGCAAAGAACAGAAATATGTTTCTTGGCTGCAAAATGAAGAAACCTGCATTTACTAAGAAAAAAAAAATATAAAAATGTGTAATAAAGCACCCAGACTTTACATTTTCTGTGTATCAAGGCAACTGCCTTAAAGGCAGTTTCTGTTATCACAGCTGCCAGAGCTGTTCATTCTCTTGCTTCTCTGTGTGACTTCCCTAAAACCACAACTGCTCAAGACACCCCATGTTCAAGTGACCACTTTTCAGCAAATGCTACTGTCAATCACTGCAAGCCAGCCTAAAGGAAATGTAATTGTGATAACTGAGTATTTTTTTGTGACTATAAAGGAAGTGAGTAGTTTAGTTTTCTTGCTCTCTGGAGAAGAGGTCTTTACTATGCCATTTTAATATCAAGTCCTGGAGCACTCATACAGTTTATGCACAAAAATGGGGTGATATTTTCCCTTTTAACACAGGGCCAAATCAGCCTGCCCATATTAACTTTCCATGACAGGATCTCTAAAAAAGGCCACTTCGTCCTTAAATTGTTTTGGACTTAATTTGGTGTTGTCATGCAATTAGGTTTTGCAGAATTGGTTTCTGGAGTGACAGCTTCTATTGTTACAGCATATGGCAATCAGAGAGCAGCTTGTGGCAGATGTGATGTTTATTCACCATTTGCTAGTTTTAGATTTAATGATGTCATTCTAATCAAAGCAAATGTTAGATGTGTTTGACATCTAAGGAGTTTCACAGCCCCCCCATCATGTTTAAGCTGCTTCTGTTAAGTGGAAACACGTCAGCTCTAAATGCATCTAAGTCATATTTAAGAACTAATGATGCAATTTACTGGAGGTCTGTATTCCAAAAATCCATGTTTCCAACATGCATTGTGTTCCTCCAGCAGACTACAAAGACCACCTATTACAATAAGTGAGCTCATTAAGCATGCAACTCCTCAGTCTTGCAAGCTGTTGCGATAAGCAGCTGTTGCAAGAGGGTAAAAGGTTGAATTACCAACTTGGACAGCACAGCACTTCATTCAGCCAGCCCAGGACAGTATTTGAGCAATAGCTCCATTACTGTGGAGTATACCTCTGACTACAGCACACAAGCAAAGCATCAGTGGTATTTCAGTGACATGCTTCCCCACCCAGCAAGCAAGACACTCCCAGAAATTAATTGTCAAAAATTTATTATGAAAGCTTCAATAGCAGCAAATATTTCAATAAAAGTTATTGCATTATTAAACCAGTTCTGCAGAGTGACCCAAGAGGCCTGTTGAAGTCTGTCTGCTTTGGAATCTCTGTATTTGACTCAGTAACCAGTCCCCAGCAGTCCACCAAATATTGAAACTTTCTCCTGTGTGTTTTGCAGACAGCACCAACAGTTCCTAGTTCCAGAACTCTATCCAGTCCTTCTGGAAAGTTTTGGCCCACTTCCCCCGACTTTCTCTCTCCCTTCTGAAACAGCTCCACATGGCTGACAAACTTGCAATACTTCTTTCAGTTCCATGGTATGTCAGCCTCTCCATGGTTGCAGCCTACTGAGGCTCACTGGTGAGGTGAGCTGTTCTCCTCTTTCTCCTCTGTAAGAGCCCACTGCATGCCAGTCTGAGGGACCTTAATCCAGTCTCTTGACCAGGCTAATCCATGGAATCAGCAGCTTGTTGCGCAGTTTGGTGAACCCACACCACGTTGAGAATGCAACAAAGGTTTCAGCCTCCCCAGTGCACCGGGTCACCATCACTCGGGCAGGGTGATGGTTGGCACCCAGTCATTGACATTTCGGCTCTCTTCACAAAACAAGTTCAGGTTTTCAAGAGCTGGGTCCTTCCAGCCTTCTTCACTCGGGTTCTGCCAGAAAGAAAAAAAGTTGCACACCATGAGTGCTGCCCGCTAGCTGAGGTCAGCATAATATTTACAGAAGCATTAGCTTAGGATGCCAGGCACTTCCAGACAGTTTCTGTCCTGACACAGACAAGGCAGGAAGCAGAGATGTTGCCCTTGTGGACAACGGAGAAAACCCACAGTTACGAGAAGTGCTGCCTCCTCCTACTACTACTGCTCAGCTGACTGTCTGTGTGCCAAGCGCCCTTTCTGCGCCCAGAAGAGGACTCGACCACCAGCCGCGGGCGAAGGGGCCGCCCCCGACAGGCTGTCGCCGTGCGGTGCCGAGCCCGGCAGCGGCGAGGGGACAACGCTGGCCTCCCGCGGGACACCCACCGTGATGAGGATGCAGTGCAGGTCCCGCGGCTCTCCGGACTCCTCGCTGGGCCCCACGATGGCTGCCAGCTTGGCCACGTCGTTCACCCGCACGATGTCGATGTCGTTCTCGCAGCAGAAGGCTTGGATCAGAGTGAAGTGGATCTGCAGGGCGATGTCCCCCTCGTCCTCCTGGTCCGCGGCCAGCACGCAGAACGCGACGTTGTCAGGGTCGCTGTAAGAGGGAAGCGGCGTCTCGATGAGCTCCCGCGGCCGGCGCCGGCCACCCCCGCCGCCCCGACTGAGCACATTCCCCCGGTCCCGCCGCCCTACTTACACATTCATCAGCTTGGCCGACTCGTAGACGCCGGCGGTGAGGCAGCCTCGGCGCTGCGCCGACACCAGCAGCTCGTGGAGGGCCGTACCGGCACCGTGCATCCTGCGGACCGGGAGAAGGCACAGGGTCAGCGCGGCGCCGCCACCACCGCCACCGCCGCCCCGAGACCGCCCGCTGCGCGCTCCCCCCCGCCACGGCCCACCGCCACCCGCACGTACCAGTCGTGGCCCACGGGCGCAGGCTGCTGTCCGTGGATCTCCTCCAGAGTCATGGCAGCGAGTCCCCACAGCGCGGCGGCTCCGTCAGCTGCTCGGTAGGCGACTCCTTCTGACAACAGCCCTGAGCGCTCTGAGGCGACGGCACCGCGGCCCGCGCTACTTATAGCCCGCGAGGGAACCTACCGGGCTCCCATTGGCCGGCGGGGGAGAAAGGGGCGGCTTTATTATGCTAATCGGCGCGCGCCGGAGAGGAAGCGCGGGGAGCGGGGGGAGGGAAGGCGCGTCGGGGCTGTCGCGACAGCGGGGGGGGAGGGGGCGGGGGCCGCTCCGTCCGTCCGTCCGTCCCTCTGTCCGTCCCTCTGTCCGTCCCTCTGTCCGTCCCTGTGTCCCCGTGTCCGTCCCTCTGTCCGTCCCTGTGTCCGTCCGTCCCTCCGCCTCTTCCACCTGTCCGTCTGTCCCTCCGTCCCCGTGTCCGTCTGTCCCTCCATCCCCGTCCTTCCGTCCCTGTGTCCGTCTGTCCCTCCCTCTGTCCCTCCACTCCCCCGTCCGTCTGTCCCCAGCCCTGTCCGGCCCCTCTGTCCCTCTGTCCGTCTGTCCGTCCCTCCGGCCCTGTTTCTCCTGGCCCTCCATCCCCGTGTCCGTCCGTCTGTCCGTCTGTCCTTCTGTCCCCTCCATCCCCGTGTCCGTCCCTCTGTCCCCCTGTCTGTCCGTCTGTCCCCGTGTCCGTCCGTCTGTCCCCCCGCGCCCCCCCCGCGCCCCCCCCGCCGCCGATCGATCCCT